TCTAACTTTGCATGAGGATTAAAAAATCATTACACTGTTTCACAGTGTAATGATTTTTTAATCCTCATGCAAAGTTAGAATTCATGTTAAGGCCTGTTACAGAGTAATCATGTATTTTCTGATTTCTGTCTTTGAATGAGCAAGTGTGCGTTTTCCAAGGTCAGGAGTCGAAGCAGACATGTGTTGGAACAACTGTCTTGTTTACATCCTCTCAGACGTCAACAGAGAAGTTGGCACCTGTTTCTCCAAACTCGCCAAAACAAAACTCTCTCTGTCTCTGAGAACAGTTTAATCTGTTCCATAACAATTCTTGCTGTTTTCTGACTTCTAGTAACCTCTTACGTCACAAACCACACCCCTGTCTGGTTGATATTGACCAATCAGGAACTATCAAATATACCGGAGATAGAGCTCTTTAAAATGCCGGTACTTCCTAGTTCTCTCAGGGCGGAGAAGTTCTGAGATGTTGGCAGTTCTGTGAAGTCGTTTGGGAGAACAGAAGTCCAGCCATGAAAAGGCTCTTCCGAGTTTGGATTATAACATCTTCCACCTCTGAGTGGAACTTCTGAAGGACTCCACTCATGTGAAGTCCACCCGGTGAGGTGAACTGTTGTTGACGAAGCCCCGTCACCACTTCGAACGAGTCACAGCTATCCTATGGAGACGCTGAAAGGTAGCGTTAACCGGAGCTCCTCTTCTTCTGATCCATCATCAGAGAGGTAAATGAGTCTAGTCTCCTACTGAGCGTATCGAGGAAAAGCTGGGTCGGATGGAGGGTGTCGTCCTGTCAACACTTTTCACTCATACACACCACATTCTCCCTCATCCATCTTTTACTCCCTTTAAACTTCATTTTCCATCTTTAAAATTCTTCTTTCTGCTAGAAAATTAATCCAGATGTTTTTAGAAATGTCTGTGTAAAGTGCTCATTCCACCGCCGTGTGGATTGATGTCTGCTGTTCTGCTGAAGAGTGAAAACAATCGCCGCATTGTTTCTCACTACCTGTAAAGCTGTTAATTATGTTGTTATTTTCATATTTTGCCAAATTAATGTAAATGTTTGATGTTAAACTTTGATTCTGTAAAATAAATGACCACATTCATTTTGATGGGTCAAAGATAAATGACGTCTCACGTTACATTTCATTAAATTCAATGCACGTTTTATTCAGTCCAGAAAAATGAAGAATCCGTTTTAATTGATGAATATATCTCAGCATCTTTTCATCTACATATTGGTGGCCCGTACGGGGATCGAACCCGCGACCTTGGCGTTATCAGCACCACCAGGTAGTGATCAGTGGACATCCGCCCCTCTCTTCACCCGAGTGTCCAAGACATGTGGCCGCAGATCAGATGAGACGACGACAAAGTCATTCATCGAACCGCGGCCTAGGGTGTCCTTGTGCCAAGAGCACATATGGACACCCTTATGCTTGAACATGGTGTGTTTGTTATGGACAATCCATGATGAGCACAGAAGTCCAACAACAGAACACCACTCGGGTTCAGATCAGGGGGGCCGTTCCTCCCAACCACACCCCTCCAGGTCTCACTGTCATTGCCCACGTGATCATTGAAGTCCCCCAGCAGTACAAGGGAGTCCCGAGGAGGTGCACTTTCCAGTACCCCCTCCAAGGACTCCAGAAAGGGTGGATAATCTGAACTGTCGTTTGGTGCATAAGCACAAACGACAGTCAGACCCCATCCCCCCACACGTAGGCGGAGGGAGGCCACCATCTCATTCACCGGGGTGAACCCCAACACACAGGCACCAAGATGGGGGGCAATAAGCATGCCCACTCCTGCTTGGCACCTCTCACCAGGGTCAACTCCAGAGTGGAAGAGTGTCCAACCCCTCTCAAGGAAACTGGTTCCAGAGCCAGAGCCATGCATAGAGGTGAGTCTGACTATTTCTAGCCAGAACCTCTCAGCCTCACACACCAGCTCAGGCTCCTTCCCCACCAGTGAGATGACATTCCACGTCCCAATAGCCAGCTTCTGTAGCCGAGGATCAGACCGCCAGTGTCCCCGCCCTCGGCCACCACCCATCCCACATTGCACCCGACCCCTTTGGCCCCTCCCACAGGTGGTGAGATCATGTGAAGGGGGACCCACGTCTCCTCTTCGGGCTGTGCCTGGCCGAGCTCCATGGGTAAAAGCCCGGCCACCAGGCGCTCGCCTGCATACCCCACCTCCAGGCCTGGCTCCAGAGTGGTTAATCCTACTGATTCATTCATTCAACCTTTATTTATACAGGTTAATCCCACTCATTAATTAATTCAACCTTTATTTATACAGGTTAATCCCATTGATTTATTCATTCAACCTTTATTTATACAGGTTAATCCCATTGAGCCTCAAGGACTCATTTACAAGAGACTTTATTTTAACAAAGAGTGATGACAACAATGGACAATCATAAAAGAGGCGTACAATTACATTTTTTACAAATTAAAATAAAATGACAGTCAAAAGGAAAAAGTAGCACAAAAACATGTAGATCATAAAGCGGTGTAGAAAACTAAAAACAGGAGCACGTGTGCATGTTGCTGTTTTTAGTTTTCATTTACTCCTCTCTGAAGACGGTCCTGTGGCTGCAGGTGGAAGTCAGGTTAGGGTCAGATTAGGGTCTGGTGATGGTCAGATTAGGGTCAGGTTAGGGTCAGGTTAGAGTCACGTTAGGGTCAAGTTACTGTCACGTTAGGGTCAGATTAGGGTCAGGTTATGGTCAGGTTAGTGTCACATTAGGGTCAGATTAGGGTCAGGTTAGAGTCAAGTTAGGTCACGTTAGGGTCAAGTTACTGTCACCTTAGGGTCAGGTTATGGTCAGGTTAGTGTCAGATTAGGGTCAGGTTAGGGTCAGATTAGGGTCATGTCATGGTCAGATTAGGGTCAGGTTATGTTAAACCCTGTTGAACTAATCGAGGTTTGGGAAGTCAAACCCAGATGTTTGTGTCTTCCAGATGTGCCTCAGCTGGAGATGACGGCCTGGTTTTGGTGTGGAATATTGAGGTATGAGCTTGTTATTTGTGTACGATGTAACGTTGACGTTCAGATTCACGTCTTCTTCCTGTCTGGAGACTGGAGAGAGGCTGCAGGAGCTGCGAGGTCACTCCCAACAGATCACCGCCATCACCACATTCACCTGCAGGGACCAGCTCACGTCACACACCTCGCTCATCACCGCCTCGTCAGACCGCAGCCTCAGTGTATCCTTACTGAAAACACACACACACACAGTATTCCTGATACCATTTTAGTTTTTCTGTGCACGTTGAGTGCATGATAACTTGGTGTGTAGCTACATCAAGAGTTAAGAAAGGTTCTTTTTGAAAATGAGTTGAGAGGCGGCTCAGTGGTAGAGCTGCCGCCTCTCAGCAAGAAGGTCGCTGGTTCAAATCCTGGCAGGGGGCCTTTCTGGGTGGAGTTTGCATGTTCTCTCCGTGCTGTGTGGGTTTTCTCCAGTTTCCTCCCACAGACCAAAATCATGCATGAAAGTCCCAAGATGTCCCACTGATGGACTGGGGACCTGTCCAGGTGTCCCACTGATGGACTGGGGACCTGTCCAGGTGTCCCTTGCACAGTGATAGCTGGACATGTACTCCACTGACCCAAAAAGGAAGAAGCAGGTAAATGGGGGGGGGGGGGGTGCTAGGTGTAAATCCAAGATGGCTGCCACCATCCATGCTGAAGTGAAGCACCCTGATCATTTGAGGAAACTGTGCTTCCTAGTTTTTATTTTATTTATTGTAAATGTTTAGTTTCACTAAATGATCGGGGTGGTTAAAGATTAATCTGTGGTCATGGAGGCTCCCCCACCCCCACCCCCCCACCCCCCGGGCTCCAGGTCTCTGCAGGTTCTGAACTCAGAGCTGCCTCACATGAGCAGAAACTAAAAACATCCTCAGTGTAACTCTTGCACACTTGAATATGTTGCAGTAAAAACATTTAGGTTTACTTCCCTGTCCAGAAAAACTACAAACATTCAGTGTTCAAGTCCGTCATGGACGCGGGGCGTCGGCGTACGGCTCTTCGACCCCCGCTGTGGTTCTCCTTGATCTCTTTGGCCAGCTGTGGGATCCTGACTCGGGCCGCAGAGTTCAGAGCGTTTCAGATCTTCAGTCCTCTGTGAAGGTAACGAACAGTGAAGTCCGTTTGGACGCTTTATGAAATGTTTGAACTCCGGTAAAGTTTTATGGAGTTAGCAGCTGTGCTCTCAGCGCTGCTCCGACTAGTCACTGGCTCGTCGTTCCTGTCCGAATTAAACGGTTCTGTAGCACCACTCGTCTCCGGCTTCTGGACCAAAGCACCAAATATTTAGTGAAATATGAACTCCTCGTTCTGCTGCAGGACGTGGCTAAAGGCCCGGCCATTTTAAACCACAACCAGCTTCTTTAGCCACTTTGGTCAAGGTCAAGGTTCTTTATTGTCATTCACACCACATGTGGTACACGAGAAGGAACAAAACTATGTCCACAGGGCCCCAGTTACATCCAACACAAATACACATTGTAAAGAGAAACATGAGTAAGATCCAATATATGAACTAAGAATTCACTAAACTAATAATCAGCTAAGCACTCGTAGTACCAAACAATGCACCAAACAACAGCAGCACGAACATGAGTCTGTGTGAGCAGATGAGGATGAATGAACACAGCAACATGAAATAATCAGCAGCATGAGATCAGCAGCACATATCAACAATCAAGTGTCATCACAGTGATTATTCTGGTTAGAGATTCATGAGTCTAACAGCCTCAGGGTAGAAGCTGTTCCTCAGTCTAGTGGTTCTACACTTAATGCTCCTCAACCTCCTTCCTGAGGGGAGCAGGACAAGAAGTGTGTGTGCTGGGTGAGTGTGGTCCTTCATGATGCAGGTGGCCCTCTTCCTGCATCTGGAGGTGTAGATGTCTGTGATGGTGGGGAGACTGACTCCAACATCTTCTGTGCAGCCTTCACCACTCTCTGCAGAGCTTTTCTTTCTTCAGTCTGAGCTGGTAAATGAATTGATGGGGTGATGTGTTAGCCCTTGGAGCGGTGTTCAATCAATCAACCTTTATTTCTACAGGTAAATCCCATTGAGCCTCGAGGACTCATTTACAAGAGAGACCTGATTTCAACAAAGAAAGATGACAACAATGGACAACAGCAACAACAATAAACAGTTATAAAAAGTCATACTCCAATTTTTTTAATTTTTTTTTTTAGAACAAATAGGATGGCTAAAAGAAAAAGGTAACAAAAAAAACAGCTAAATTCTAAGGCGAATGTAGATGTTTGTCTTCATTCAGATTCTTTCTACTAAACAGAGCCTTTTCATGGTCATATATGCACTTTTGGCCAATTCCTTTGAATAATTTCAACTTTTTTATGCTTCTTTCAACCTCTGTTCAGCCTTTTCTACACTTTTATGCTGATTTTTCAAATGTCAGCTGTTTGAGTTGAACTCCCATCAACAGTTTAGAGATGTTGTGTTGTTTATTTGTCACATGCAGGTTAACACAAGGTCAACAGTACAATGAAAGTATGAGAAGAATTGATTTGACTCACTAAAAACAAAACAGAAAAAACAAGAAATACTAAAACATTCAATAAGGCTATAAAATAAAGTAGCAAAAAATGAAAAAGTAATTATAATATTTACAAGCTCCAAGAGAAATATTCTACAACATGGTAGAATATAACGGTGCAAGCAGGAGCTAAAATGCACATGATTATCCATCCATCCATCCATCCATCCATCCATCCATCCATCCATCCATCCATCCATCCATCCATCCATCCATCCTTGTTTGTTTGTTTGTTGCACATGACTAACATACTGTATAGTACACAGGTTGTGTGGCAGGTTATTGCACATTTAGTGACATTGAGATGGAATTATGACGGGTAGATACCTTACCATCATAATTCTGTTATATCATACACGGTACAGCCACATCCTCCTGTGAGTACAGGAGTGGACTGAGGACATAGCCCTGAGGTGTACCAGTGCTGAGGACTAGTGTGGAGGAGAGGGACAGCCGATTCTCATTGCCTGTGGTCTGTTGGTGAGGAAGTCCAGTATCCAGCAGCAGATGGACTTCTCCAGGCCCAATGTGGTGAGCTTGGAGACCAGTTTGGAGGGGATTCTGGTGTTGAATGCTGAGCTGTAGTCAATGAAGAGCATTCTCACATAGGTGTTTACCTTCTTCAACACTCTTCTCACTGCAGCAGTGTCTAAACAGAGTGTGACGTCCTCACTGTCCACATGTGGTGTAGTGACATGTGGTGGTGTTTGCATCAAAACAGGTGTGGAAGGTGTTGAGCTCATCCAGAAATGTTGTGCTGGTCATCTCCACAGACCTGTTCCTTCTCTTGTAGTCTGTGATGCAGTGTAGTCCATTCCAGACGTGCCTCAGGTCATTACCAAAATCACACTTGGAATCTGTCCAGTAGAGGGCAGATTCCACCACACGCTCCCTGTATGTCCTCTGTGAGGTCCTCACAGTCTTCCTCAGGTCGTACTTGTTTGCTTTGTAGCCCCAGGGTCTCCAGAATTAAAGGCAGCGGTGCATGCTGTAAGTTTAACACAAACCTCTGGCCCAACCTATGGTTTCTGGTTAGGGTAAGTGCAGATGGAGGTTTTAGGCAAAACATCATTAATGCACTTCCCTGTGTAGCCTGTCAGAGTCTGTATGTGTTGCTGTCACTTGATGGAAGCTTTTCAGCAGAAATCCTTCAGAATAAGTTCTCGCTCCACGATCACAGGACATTTATCTGGTTGTAGCTAGTCTCTTATTGTGGCTGATCATTTGTGTTTGTCCTTGAGGACGTGTACGTGTTGACATGTACGTGTTGACGTGTACGTGTTTAGGACATGTACGTGTTGACGTGTACGTGTTGACGTGTACGTGTTGATGTATACGTGTTTAGGATGTGTACGTGTTGATGTGTATGTGTTGAGGACGTGTACGTGTTGACATGTACGTGTTGACGTATATGT